GCGAGAGGAAAGAGAGTGCCACATCAACATGTCAATATAAAGCCACTTCTGACTGTTTACACAGCAACAGCTGTCAGAGTAGAGTTCACAATCAACGCCTGTCTCTCACGAATAAGTAAGTTATTTACACACTAGTTTTGCGCCCAGCACGTTGCAAGCTGGGAGGATACGTACTGCTACTGGAATATGACTACAATAATGAGGAAGTCAGTTTTGCAAAAAATGCTATACCTGTAATACAGCAGCTATTAATCATCTTAATAGAAGGAACGATAAAAAGCGGCCTCTTTGGCCAGGCAAGAGTCATAGCTCTATTGATCCATGCATGCCCTCACAGCTCTCAGCAGTAATGACTTTAGTAATGAATAAGATTCGAAAACTATTAGGTGGCAAACTCATCGCCTCCTGATGTCAACTGAGCACCAGTATTCATCTTTTAAACAGTAGGGGAGTAATTAAGAGATAACTGTAAAACCTGACATTAATATCTTATTACATTTTTCTCCCATCGACCTCCTTCAACCAAACTCATCTCAATTTACTGTTAGCGGACTTAGATATGAATCAAGCCTGTGCTTTATAAAAAAGAACCTAGTGTAGCGCAGTCCTTTAAAGCAGCTGTTATTAAACCTCTTTCTTATAAAAGCCTATTTCTTGTATGCGCAGTGTGTTTTTAAGCCAGTTATATACCTGTGCATGACCTTCGGCTTTCTCCGTAAGATCTCATAAGAAGAACACGCCGCTACATGCATTTGGGTGTGACTATTCTACAAGAACGAAATGCTTTACTGAGGATCTTTTCAGTCAGGATTTATGGCTTTTGTTAGCTTTGAAGGCTGGATATCACAAATATTCACTTAATTTATCAGGTTGCCCCCAAACAAACTCTCTGAAGACTTCCAGCTGATCCAAGAAGGCTTGCAAGCCTCAAGTACTGACAGTAACTAGGAAAAGAGATCAATATCTCTCTGTGTTGGCTTCTCTGCACTGGCTGCCCTGTAAAATCCAGAATAGAATTCTAAACTCCTCCTCCTTCACCTGCAAAGCCCCTCATGTTTCAGGCCACCATCATATGCTTTAAATATCTCATAGCACCCATTACCCACTAGAACACTGTGGCCCGAAAATGGCAGTTTTAGTTGTTGTACTCTAAAAGTTATGTAATGGGAGGCAGAGGCTTCAGTTCTCAGTCTCCTCTCGCTGTGGACCATCTCCGCAGTTTGGGTCCTGGGAAGGTGGAACACTGTCTCCAGTGTTTAAGCAGAGGCTTAAAACGTTTCCTTTTTGAGTAAAGCTTATAGTTAGTGATGGCTGGCTCAGGATGCCTTGGACCCATCCTCTAGTTATGCCTTGCTATAGGCCTAGACTGCTGGAGCACTTCCCATGATACGCATGATGTCCCTCTCTCTCCTCCTCCTCCCTTCCATCTGTATGCATTCATATCCGCATTTAACATGCCACCGTTACTAACTCGGTCATCCTCTCTCTCCATTCTGTCGGCCTTCATGCAGGTAATTTCTGCCTCCGGGGCTTGTTGAATGTGGGTTTGTGACGCAAGCTTGCTACTGGCCACCATGAATCCCTCTCAACACCCAATGCTACCATTATCCATTATTAGTCTCTTAATTATCATTGTCCCAATATGAATGCGGTCTGACCTGCAGCCTCTATGGTTAAGGTGGAAGGCAAACATAAAACTATTGGTTAGCTTCGGAAGTCGGTAACAGAAAAAGAAAAATAATTAATTTGCCCAAAGTTAGGATTTCTGTCTTAAGAGAAAGAGACCACACATCAGGATGCAGTCGACCATGTTGCCTTCTCAGAAAGAATCAGCTGAAAGTGTCATGCAGCTAAAAGCAGAGTCATATGAAATCTGCCCCACTTATGTCATGGAGCTTCACCTGTCAATTTCCACACTGCACTTTCACTTGTAATGTTGTGAGTTGATGCTGGTCATTTCGCAGTTTGATTCA